AATATTAATTAGATTTACGGAAAAAAAATATAAGAAAAGCCATGTTGATTAGCATAGATCTCATGAATTTAAACTACTATTAATGCGCCGCCCGATTTTTTCCATCTACCAGCAAGCGTCGATATAGGTTTTACTCCATATTCCTCCAAGTAAACTCCATCATTTTTAGCAATCCATGAGCGCAATCCATGTTTACATGGAGTTTTTGGAGGTGATAACCTAGCCGCTACTCTATAGAAATCAGCATCATCCGTTGGATCTCCTTTTACCAACACACACAACCACCCATCCTTTTGCAAAAGCTCATGGTCAATTTTAAGTACGTGTTTATCATTGAAGTTTAAAGAGAGGGTTGGGACCGTGGGAGGGCTGGTAGAACCATCATTGCACCGAACCCTAAGAATCTGACCATGACCCAGTTTGTTTTGAATTTCCAACTTTCCAATGTTGCACGATTGTGGAACTCGGCTCTGGCTCAACCCAAAAAACATAGCAATAACTAACAAAAAAAATATGAGATTATTCATTTCTTGAAGCAAAAATATTTAACAAAATTATTTTTTTTGGGATTATTATTATGAATCTAAATACATCAAAGTATTGTCGTGTTTATATATAAAAAATATGTGGTATATGTTTTTTCAGTTTATTTCTTATTTTATGGGGCTAAGCAAAATATAACCCAATTAATTCTCTGGCTGAAAGAAAATTAGTGTCGAAAAATAAGGTTGACCAATAAAATCGAACCATGTATTTTAACCTTCCAAGTATATAGCTAGTAGCTAATCACGAAAATCAAACCAAACCAAAAGTGTAAGATACAACAAAAAAAATAATTACAAGTGTGTTTTTTGTCTTTTAAAAATATTAAAAAAAAAATTACTACTTATAATATCAAGTTTTTTTATCAATACAACAGAACAAATTATAAACTACAAAATTTAAAATAATAATAAATTTTGACAAAATCTAAAATTTTATCTTAAATATTTAAAATATTTCATGTTCATCAGCATCAACAAAATTATTATTTTTAATCTTTTTCACAAATACTCATTCTTTATCCTCCACAAAATCATGCAACATTTCTCACATATTTTTTTTGCCAAAAATCTTGACATCTTGAGTATTCATTTCCTTCTTCTTCTTTTTCTTTGTCTTCATCTACATTTTATTTTTTTATCTTTCGATTGACCTTCTTTTTTTCATTGTCTTTGATTTCTTTCTCACCATATTTGTATTTCCTGAATTCTATTTTTTTTAACAAATTAATTCTCCTCTTCTTCTTGGTCTTCCCCTTCATATTATTTGTGTTTTATATACTTGCAAGTTGCAACAGTTTAACTCTATTATCATAATATTGTAAACTTCAAGTTTTATCAAAATCAGTTTTACCACTTTCTCTTAAGCTAAAGACTACATACAAGTTTTTGGCCTAAGTAACATATACGATAGGTGCCGTAAAAACAAATGTTGCTAACTAAAGAGGCCAGTTCTTCCTGAGCAAGAAATCCTTCAATATAAAAAAAAATAATTCCCAAGCAAATAAGTTTCATCCTCATAGCAAAGATATTAAAGAAGAAAAAAAAGTAATAAATCATCGAATGGAAACATACCGAAACAGTCCTTTTGTGTATGTGAACAATAGCCAGAAATAATATGCAACAATCACAACTGACCGTTAATGGCAGATCTAATTTAAAGCCTCTTTTAGAAGTAGGAAGAAAGAATAGTGTTGCCATTTTAATATTGATTTATATTGGCTAGCTAAACGTTACTAAACATTATGAATTGAATTTTAATACTGAAAACCAAAAGGCTGATACAAATAAAATAAATCATATTTATATTAAATATTAATTTATTATACTATTTGGAAAAATAAATAAGAAATTTCATTAAATTGGTTTTTTTCCTAGTATTTTTGAATTTTTTTTCCATCGGCTTTGTCTTTTCCAACTACTGTACATTGATTAATTTTTTTTTTCTATGCCTTTTACTTATTTCAGCATATTGCTCTTTATTATATGGACGTCAAGCTTGGGCATGAGATATAAAGAGAGATGGTTGAAAAACTACCAAGGTTTTTAACACATCCTTTTTAAAGTCACCTTGAAACCTCTCTTGTTCATCCTCTTCAGCTTGTAATATTTGTCTTAATGTCTTCCTTCCCACATCTTCATCACCAGGATAGAATATCAAATGGAAGATCAATGATGTAAAAAAACTATCGCTAGAATTCAATGTAAATAAACGAACTACAGAGGTTCCAGTTTTTATAAGTCTTACTGTAAACTATATAAGTTGTTAAAAAAAACAACTGTATATTATTTATAAGACTTACAAAACTTATAAAAAAATTCATTAATGCCTTTTCCCAGGCTCATCTAATATTCAAGTTCAGCAAATCAGTACGCAGAGGGCAAAAAATCTAGACTTGGGTCACAACTATTATTCTCTGAATCATGAGAGAGAAGGATAGTATTGAAACATATATCTCTATATTATTATTTGAGTAGACATTTCATAAATGAACCTTTATTTGTAAAATATTACAAAATATTTTACATAAATAAACATTTATTTATAAGATATTACATAAATAAACCTTTACTTAGAAGATATTACTTAAACAAACTTTACAAATATAGAAAGCTCAATTAAATATATAGATATAAAGCAAAAGTATATTTAGTTTCTTTACTTATTAAAATATTAAAATATATTCTATTATTTTAAATAATAATCAATCCATATATATGAAAAAATCAATTTAAACTTTTGCAATATTTTTCATTTGTATTTTCATTATTATTTAGTATCATTTTTGAAAATCAGTTCAATTATTTATATAAAAAATAAAATTATGTTTTCAATATTTAAATTTTTTTTTTTAACGGGTTGGTCAAAAAATAGTTTAGTAAATTGTGAAATATATTAAATAGACGGGTTTTTCCATTTTGACAATCCTATATATAATCATTGTTAACACATATTATATAAGTTATTAACTAAAAATGATAGTTTGATCTCTACTAAAATATTCACAATTAAATTTTTATTTTATGAATATATATATATATATATATATATTAGATTTTAATCCATGTTGGTATGTATATAAGTATATATATATATATTAATATCATATCACTTTCATATTTAAAAAAATTACTAATAATTAAACTGCATAATAATATATATACAAGTAAATATCGGTTGTGTGATATTTATATAGGTATTGTTATCTAATTGTCACCAATTTTATTTATTTATATTTTTTGGTAAATAACTTTTGTCACCAATTTAATTTAACAAAAAACATAAATTAAATTTAAAGATAATTAAAAAAACATTACCTCGCATAATATGCGGGTTAATTCCTAGTATATATATATATATATAAACAATCACACTGTGTCTCAAATCAAATACAAAGGGATCTCGCCATCAGCTCATCATGTTACATTGATGAGTTTGAGCATGTGTGAATATCCACATGTTACTTCAGTTAGTGAAAAATGCTCATCATTTTTCTTCAATGCTACCCCTAAACTATGCCAGCTCAAGCTAAGCAGGGTCAAACGACATGCTCCTCCCCATGCATATTTGATCCATCGATAGCGTTTCAAACCACAAATATAGTATAGACCCAAGACCTAGATATGAATGACAAGCTCTCTTGCTGGAAAAATTAGGATCACACCGGTTCCATAGCACAGGAGTACATCTTTTCCCTTTATCCATAGAGGAATTACTTTAGCCTGAATTTGCTTAGATGACTTAGAAGTGGACATAATAAAAAAAAATTGAATGTTGCTCTGCAAAAAGCATTAGGTTTATTTCTAAATGAAAAGTCATAACTCCTCTCATCTTGTAGATCAGGCTTATCTTCAGCACAAAACACTGAACAAACACATGTAAAACTTCAATACTCCAACAATGTCTTTACTTCGAACATATATCTTCTCAACTCCATGAACGTAATAACAATGAGAAGCTTGTAAGTTTCAATTTTTTATTTTTTTACCTGAAAACGTCTCTTGATGACTTGAATAGACTGTGTAACTGCTACAGCGTGGCTTTTCCAATCATTCTCGTTCTCATCTAAGAACAGCCATTGATTAGCTATGACTTCGTTCCACAGTAAGTCCATTGCAAGTCTAGCCGTGGAAACAAAACTGATGCAGAGAGATATTTGGATGAGAGATTACCGAATTTCTGATTCATATAAGAGATTTTTCTAGATTTGAATCCTAATGATGTGGTTTTGAAGGTTCTAGTAAAAACTGAGGAGAGCCCAGAAGCCGAACTGAATCGCTAGAATCTGCATTTAACGGATAGTTATAAGAAGAGAGTACGTATACTTCTGATTTTGATTAGCACAAGGAAAAAAGAACAAATTTTAGATACATAAACTGTTCAATCCAGGAGAAACGTCTAAGAAAATAAAATCAAACACGACATAAAAACAAAGCAATCAAAAACCAAAAATAAAAAGACATGTAAAATAGTAGGAAATAAAAACATAACCAAAAAAAAAACATAAAACACAAGTGTAACAATAAAACGCAAGTATAACATACACACATAAACCACAAAACCAAGTACAAACTCCACCTCTCGGCATCTCGACAATAGAAATAACCAGCCACTCAGACAACCTAACCCAACAACAACAAATAAGTTAATATTCGAATTTATTAAATAGAGACTTATATAGCATATCAACGTGACAACGTCGTAAACAAAACATTGAAAAAATGGTGAAACTTATAGCGAAGAAGATCAACAAAGTCAGAAACTATAAGCAACAAAGAGAGGAGTTATTTTTATTCAAAAAAAAAAAAAAACAGAACAAAATAGAGGCGCTGAAACTAAAAATTTACTTCGTATGATATATTGTATGATATGATGAATATAAAACAGAACAAAAGATGGGCTATGTGATAATGTGCTGAGCCCAAATATATTTCTAAAATAAAACGGCCCGGCTGATTTTATTGATCGTCCTGCCTTCGTCCTCCACCGTGCACCACCATTGTTTCTGGTTCAATTCAGGTAACCGAACAATTTTTCTACTTTTAACTTCAGTTCCGATGATCACTATCTGGGTAATCTATCAAACTTTTTTCAAAAGGCTCGTTCTTTTCTACTAGGGTAATCTCTGGTTTGGTTTAAATCTGGTGTTTAGGTTTTGGGATATATCTGTCTATTCATAGGAGAAAGTCTGAAACTTTTGCATTGTTGTAGCTAATTTTCTAATTGTAAGCGTTTTCTTTTTCGATTGAATTGATGAGATATAACAAGGATACTCTTCTAATAGGGGAAACAATATGTGTAGTTACAGATTTCTCTATACGTTTTAGTATATAATGATCCAAGACTTGATGTTACAAATTTGCTGGTCTACTCGTGCTACAACACTATCTTTGATGAGACTACAGTATCTCTCAGGTTCAGGTTGAATTTCTATGTTAACCATGTTGTATGAATAGCTTACTTAGTCTGATTTGTATCTCAGGGTTGTGACAAATTAGTATACAAAATTGCAGCAGATATATTCTGTTCTATATCGGAGACAATCTTTAAGTGCATTCATTCTGTTCTTCTTCTTTTTTTGTTAAAGGTTTTCCATTGAATAAATTAAATCAACTTTTTTGATACATTTTAGCAAAAAGGAAAGGGGAACCATAATGAACCGGAGAAAAAACTTGAAGCCGCATGCTTCAGGTGAGATTTCAAATATTGGAAAGCCGCAAACGAAGAAGAAGTCGCATGCTTCAGGTGAGATGTCAAACATTGGACCAGCATTGTAGGATTTTTAGCCCCATTTTGAATTTTTCCTTTGAAGGGAAGAGGCTCTATTATGAACACATCGATGGACGATCTTGATGATTGTCTCTTTGGAGATGTTACGAGATCTATGGAGTCTTTGGTTCCTTTCTCTCCTAGAATGGAAATTTAATCTGTTCTTGGTACTTAATCTTTTTGTTTCTTCAATCTCATATTTTTTGTGCATGTCAGGGATAAAACTTCCTCTGTTTAAGAGAGATATCGATGAACTCATAGACGAGTTTGTGGAGGTATTTTATTTATGTTTCTCCATCTTTATTAGTTATTTCAGTTTTCATTTCATATTGTTTCAGGCTTTCAATTTGTTATGTCTCTGGTTTTACTTCCAGGGTGATTTCACAACGTTTGATGAAATGAAGAGGGTGTGGCTATCACGAAAATTTTCTTATATATATGAAGCCATTCCGAACACCAGCTTAGCCTTTTTCATGCAGTCATTATATGCTCATACCATCGGTAAGTTGAGGTTTAATCATGGATTTTCAACACACTTCGTTGCTATCTGTAGCCACATTGTGCTTGTTTTCTTAGCTATGCTTACAAGCCAGCCTTATGTCTATAGGTCACATGGTTAGTACTGGAGATTCTTTTTCACGAAGACTTGGAGGTCTTTACTGTCTCTATTGCCTTCATGAGACCCAACCTTTTAAACCCAAGTTCAGAATCTATATCTCGCTTCGTAAGTGTCTACCTTTGGTTGTTTTGGTGAGATTAAGAATGGGTACATAACGATTTGATCTAATATTTTTCACTAGTTTCTTTCTTCAAACCTAAAACGTGAAAGCTGCTGTGATGTTATTCATTCATTGAGCTTTAGTTGATTTCAACTGTTTGTTTGTTTTTCTTATACTCTAAACCGAGAGCGATTACTTTACAGTTCTCCTCATCGCTAGAATCATTAGTTAACTTGTATGGTTCTCATATTGCAGAAGAGCTTGGGAAATTTAGGGATCTTATAGTTGAGGCAAAAGATAAAGGTGTAGAGATAGCTACTGCTGTGGCAAAACAAATGTTTGATAAAAACGTGTTTATATACGGAGCTGTGGAAGTTGATGAAGCGTCTGCAACCGAGAAACTTAATCAATCAACAGAACTACAGAATGCACTTGTGCGCTGTGCATATGAAAAGTATGTCATTTTGCCCCTAATTTTTTAACAAATCGTAATTTGAAATAACATTTTTAGTGATGTGATTCTCATCTTGACTTGAACAGATTAAACTCTAATACTGAGATTGAGAAATTTATCCATCTGGATATGGTGAGTAACGAGATACCTAATCTCTTAAGTATTTACATTTCCGAGATTTGCATATTTGAAGATCCCTGTTGCTCTTTCCTAGGATAGAAGATAAAAGATTATACAGATGTATATGTCCAACATTTTGATTATTTTCTCTGCACTAAGTTGTTCTATATTATTGCTTTTGTGCATATCAGGGTAATGAAGTTGGTCTGAGTTCCCTACATAAAATGTCTATAGAATATGCAGAGGCCAAGAAGCGCGCAATCAAAGGTATGCTACTTCATATGAACTGTTTGTGCGCAATTTTTTAAATCCATTTCTATAGGCTTTACTATTGATGCTATTTGCCTCTCATCCTAGCTCTGAAAGAGCAAGATTGTAAAGTTTATTTGACTTCAACCTTTGTAAGAGTTTAAGCATTTGTGTAGTAATGTTTTCTTGTGGTACCCTCATAAATCATTATGTTTTGTTATCTTAAGGTGCAGGAGAAATAGTGGAGATTGATGACATAAAGCACATAGCGGAAGAGAAAGAGCTGATGGGAGAGAGAGTGGAGAAACTGAAAAAGGAATGGGATTCGCAAAAAAATTCATTTTATGAAAAAACAAAGGTTGATTCTCTTGCTACGACACAGAAACTTCTGAAAGATGTTGCACATGGTGAAGATGATGGGTTTGATGAGCTTGACCGCTTACTTTCTGAGAGCTGATTTAGCCATTTGCAATCACCGGTCAAAATTTTTTTTTATGAATGCCGGCAAGTGAAAAGCAATAGAATTTACAGGTAAGTTTGTGTCAATCAGACTCTGTATCAGATGCAGATGTTTATCCTCTGGTTCTGACGATGAAATTTTAAAGATCAGGTAATATAAGAGTCAGGAGCTACAACAGTCTCATAAAATCAAGAGAGCAAGATGTTGATTAGGAGAACATATTAGTTAGTCTTCTTGTGAACTCAGTGTCGAACAATGAGTTTAAGGGATGTTAGTTAGTGTCAAATGACTATGTCATGTCTGCAATTTCTCTTATGATGTTTTTCTTACTAATTGTTATATAGTTTCCCCTCTGATCTAAGATCTGATTTGCTGTATTTTTTATCAAGCTGAGTACCATAATAGACTTTATTGTTTCATTACTAGCGTAAACCTGGAAACATACATAAAAAAACGAAAAAAAAAAAACATGGATTATAGATGTTGACGCACAAAGATTTTTAGATTAGCGATTGGTGTCATTACATATAAGGACATATGGTTCTTTGACAAGTAGATTAGATACACCAGAATCGCTGATATATTTTCGTAAATATTGTTTGTTATATATTTATATTAACACGTCAGACCTCCACCTCATACATTTGTCTGAGGTGTGTATTTTATTTATCTATATAAAAGGGGAAAAAAGAAATTTATGTGGCTGATTTGGACAAAAGAGTTTTGATGATTGTATAATTTGAGATAATGTGGGACCCGGAGAAGGGGGTTGGTGAGACGAGTGGTGTCCGCTGGATCTTCGCCACTGTGGTTGTTGCCTTGGTGGTCCCCACATTCTTGGGGGCTCACACAGAGGAGAGAGAAGGATCACTAATTTTTTCTTCTTTTTTTCCGACTCATTTCTTTTCTCTTTCGCTTAGTCAAACATTTTTATTTTAGGTCGACGAATTTTGATCGAGTGGATAGCAAAAACTATAAAACAATTACTATCTTTTAGACCACTTTTTCACTATTTTAATCGATGTTACTATTCTCGAGTTTGATTTGTCACTTTTGAATCCCATTGTGCAACACGGAATGAACCCACCCGAGCTCATTTTCATATATCAAAAAACCTATATATTATCAAATATCAAGACTTCAAAAATTATACAAAAAAACAGTTTTAAATCATCCGTTTACAGTATTTTTTTCAAATGTCGGAACTGATATTTTATAATATCTAAGTTTGTTGTTGATTGACTATTTAAGATTAATTATACCCTGGAAAAAAAGTTAAAGAGTGGAAAAAGTCCGGGTCGTCGGTCTTGTCTATAATATTTTAAAAACGTTATAGAATACGTTCATTAATATGTGTGATTGTTGTTTCAAATTGCAGTCATCGCCTACTACAATAATGAGAAAGAGCATGTACACATGCAAAGTGTTTGAATGAAATCATCGACCTCACCAACTCACACCACTCCTTCGAGCATTGGAGACCATTTTCATTTCCGTGTGCACTATTGATTTACATTATCCCTATTTATAATTACGTATTATTTTTTCGTAAGAAATGTTAGGTGTTGCTTTTCGGCTACCTATTAGCAACAATTAAGCTAAAGAGTAGTTCGATATCTCCATCGAACTCCCAATTACATGTTTTCTATACAAAAACAAAAATTGTTCTGATAGATGTGTTCTAAGACAATTTCACATTGTGTAACCAACCAAAAGATAGGCTACCTGGCGAATTTTGATCGAATCTTCAACCTAGCTAATACAAGTTTAGCTTATAAATCACTGAGATTTTTTTGTCTAATATATTTTTGTTTGTTTTCTCAATTAAAAAAAAAACATATGTTCCATCCAATCATCCATGCGATTCATTTGATCATTTGTTACATAGTTGTGTACGTGTCATGTAGTAAGTTAGACCGTAAATCTATTTACAAGCAAAAAAATTAGGTTCCTATCTACTTTACTTTTCGGTTATAGAAATTATTTAAATTAGTCTGAATTCACTATAAATACAATAATGTAGTTGCGTAGTTGCCATTTCTTCGGTCACGCAAACGATGTGTTTCCTTCACTTAACCCTTCTTTGTGATTAACTACGCAACTACATAATAATATTCTATATATTGTGTCGATTTTTTTTTTTATTGTGTCGATATAATATTAGTATATTTACTTTTCCCATATATCTGTCTACGTAATAATATATTTTTCCTCCAGAAATAAAAATCACGATAACTTGAATATCTATTGTCGTTTTGTGTTCTTTTTCCGGAGATAATTAGGGAGATGGCTATAAAATAGTTCCATATACTGAATGGATTATGGACCGACACAACGATATATTTTTTATTTAAGACCATATCGGAGTGAAAATGTTTGACACTAACATTCACTTCTAATATTGGCACGCTCTTATTATCTAGGCCTCTTATGTTGAAGTGGCATGACGCTGACGTTTGCATGTTATTCTACGATCTATAATAATTATATATAGGAAACCAACAAAATTAAAATGCTTGTCACGGAGAGAACATTATGTTCGATTTTCATTCATGGACGAATCAATGATATGGTGATAAGTAATAACTAAGTTTATATGCATATATTAATAATGCAGAGTTTTACTTTTGGAGACACGTTATTGAACAGTCAAATAGTCAAATAATAACTCATTCTTCCAATTTATATTGTCGGCTGATGAATAGAAACTGAGAATCGTGTAAAAAAGAAGTCATCTATCTTTAAACCATGATCATGATTCAAAGTTTCAAACCGTGTAATATGTTCAATAAATATTCTTTCATGTCAAACGAATCGGCAAAATAAAATTGGGCGTATTATTTTTCGTAAAGGAGAAACCGGTAATACACAACTTGAGATTATTATATTTTCATCCAATAAAATTTAGATGGTATCGGTTAAAAGAAACAAAAAAAAATTATCTAATCGTTCATATTATTCAATCAATACTACAAACAATATCTATCAATTGCTTCTCTTAGATTAAATTTATTTCTTAGATTTATGATGTACTGAATTAGAAAAAAAAATAGAGTCAACGGGATTATTAAATTTACTCATAATCATATTTGGAAACGAATATTAATTTTTAATTGGAATGTTCCTTCTGGGTCAAATCTAGTAATATCATTAATTAACTTAACTTAATCCAAACTACTTACGATTTTGTTTTTGAGGTCAAATGTTCGGTCTTGGACACTGAAACTGGAGTAAAATTAGTGATTAAAGTTTTTTTATCCATAACAAATTTCAAATTGATGTCTGTGCATGGTCAGGCGAAGTTGGGGTAAATGCTCGGTAGAAAACTTAGTGGGTAGAATATTTTGATCAATTTACTCATTTTGAAATTAGTCGGATTCATCCGAAATGTTTGTTGATAAAAAAGAAAAACTAGAAATCAAACTCATGCAAAATAAATAACTAAATATAGATAAAAATCATTCATGCTGGTTTGGATCGAATCGATGTCGACTATCTAGTGGCATAAGAATATTTGTTTATGACAAATATTTTAAGTTATGTTGATTTTGTTTAGGTGCGATTAGGTTTTCCGTTAACACGCTTGATCAGACCGTTGGTCTAACAATAAAATAAGGCATCATCATATAAAATGGAGATATATTTAGTTTTACAGGAATGGTTATGGATTATGTAATGAACATTGTTATAGACAATCAATTGTTCACGATGTAATATTCTTAAATTAAAATTTTCATAAAAACTTTCTCTCTTTTTATTCATATACTAAGAAATATATAATATATTATATACTGTAGATAATATTTTGACATGTATATAATCATGTATATATTGAATATTCCTTCTATTAATTAGATATGTTTTAAACTTTGTACTACTTGTAAGAACTGTGTTTATACCACCTAATTTATCCTTTTTATTTGTATCAAAAACTTATAATAAGAGGAAATTACTAAAACCTCTAAAAACAACGAAAAGAACTAGTGTTACTTGGTGGGGACTTTGAATTGACTCTACTACGTTCTTACAAATTTGACATTACACACCTACTCCCAAAATTCATTCCTAAACCATAATCACTCGTAAAGGAATGGAATTGTCTCATATTCTCACCAACCGCAAAACGCTATTTCCCCTCAGCCACCAGCCGCGACCACCTTTTTCTAAGAGATATTTTTTTTTTGCGGCTGAAAGTCTCAAACCAAATTCACGTTTTAATTTCCATTCTCCACCGTTAGATCCTTAATCGTCATCCAACGGTCATCATAAAACTTTCAACCACCCCTCATTCTCATTTTTTAATTTTCGTTTATTCCAAAAAAATCTTGTTCTCTTCTCCTTCTCTTGTGCTTACCTAACATCGAACACTGCTACATCGTCTCTTCTTATTTAAACCACTCTTCTCTCTTCTCTTCTTCCTCAGGAACACACACAAAATTTACAAATCCCTTCACCAACAATTCATAATCTCTCCCTTTCTCCTTTCACTAACAATTCTAAAGAGATCTGATCCTTTATTTATCTAACACAAAAAAACTCGAAACCAATGGATCAGATCAACGGATTAGTTCACCAAAACGGCAAAATCGACGCGATGTTATGCGGCGGAGTAGAGAAGACGAAAACGGCAGTTACGACGGTGGCGGATCCGTTGAATTGGGGTGCTGCGGCGGAGCAGATGAAAGGGAGTCATTTGGATGAGGTGAAGAGGATGGTTGAGGAGTATCGGAGACCTGTAGTGAATCTCGGCGGTGAGACGCTTACGATCGGACAAGTTGCGGCGATCTCCACCGTCGGCGGCGGAGTTAAGGTTGAGCTGGCGGAGGCTTCGAGAGCCGGCGTTAAAGCTAGCAGCGATTGGGTTATGGAGAGTATGGGCAAAGGTACTGACAGTTACGGTGTCACTACCGGTTTTGGAGCTACGTCTCACCGGAGAACCAAAAACGGCACCGCATTGCAAACCGAACTCATTAGGTAATTTATTGAATTTTTTAGATCGTGTATTAAATTATTTTAGAGCAAGGGAAGAATGTGATCAAACATTATTTTAATTTTTTTTTTCAAAGAATTTTGGTTTTGTGATCAGAGAAAATAATAATTTAGTGGATTAAAGTGGATCATTGGCAGAGATTTATTTGGGGCGGTATAATTGTCACTGAATATACTCACGAGGAATCAGTTTTTTGGTTTTATGAGGATCATTTCATTTGCATGGGAAACAGAAACACGCCGAGTCGGTTACTTGGATCGGGTTGTTTAGTCTAGTCGGGTCGGGTTGGGTTTAAGCCCAACAGAATAAAAGAAATATTAATTTATCTTTAATGAAATGTTATTTGTTTGTTTCCGTTTCAGATTTCTGAACGCCGGAATATTCGGGAACAC